CCCCTCCACCGCCCGCCTGTGCCCCGCGTCGGCCTCTCACCCCTGACCTCCCACCATAGTGACTCAGGTGCTTCAGTGGGCTGAAGCTCTATCTGCCTGTTCTTGTCCACCGCACCCTCGGCTGCCAGACTAATCTCTCCCAAGCACGGCGTCGGGACAGAGCCCCAACGGCATCATTTGTCACGTGATTGGGGTCTGGTGAGCTTGAATTAATCCTTTGGAATTCTGACCAGTATCCCTTAAAATGTGTGTTGCTGCGTGAGCATGCTCTGGGAGCCGGCAGGCCGAGCCGGTTTCAGCACCAGCCCGGGCAGTGGGGACTAGAGGCCATCTCTGCTTGCTCACAGCTGGAGCTGAGGGGAAGGGGCTGCAAGTGTCCTGGGACTGCTGTGACAGATGGCCGCCAGCCACCTCTCCCCTCATGCCACTTCTTGTCTGTGTCCCAACACTGGGCCTTGAACTCAGAGTCTTGCACTGGTTGGGCATCAGTGGAGGGGGGTAGGGGCCATGCCCTGGCCATTTCTGCTTCAGATTTTTCATTTCTTGGTTTGTTTACCTTATTTTTGTGCCAGCACTGAGGCTTAAACTCTGGGCCGGGTGCTGTGCTGTCTCTTGGCTTTGCTGCTCAAGGCTGGCACTCCACCACTTGCACCACAGCTTTACTTCTGGCTTTTTGGTGGTTAATTGGAGATAAGAGTCTCATAGACTTTCCTGCCCTGATTGCCTTCACACTGAACTCAGATCTCGGCCTCCTGAGTAGCTAGGGTGACAGGCGTGAGCCATCGGCACCCAGCTTAGTATGATTTCATTTTAACTTGACCACATCTGCAAAGATTCCCATCTCCAAATAAGGGCACATTCTGTGGCTCCAGGTAAGCATGAGTTTGGGGTGCTATCAACCAATCCGAGGGTCCACCCCAGAACAGGATCACTAGAGTGAGGCTTACAGGAGAAACCTAAAAGTTTCCCCATAAAGCAGAGGACACTGGGGCCAAGGTACAAGACTGCCTGGATTAGAACCCGTGGAGGAGGAGCAGCAGCAGCAGACACCAAAAGAGGCAAGGTGACCTGGGGGCGGGGTCCTGGGCTGGAGGCGGAGGTCAGCCCTGCCCAGTATATGGCCCCCCTCCCGGCCCCAGCCGGGAGCCTGAGGGGATTCCCAGCTCTTCACACTGAGCGTCTGGGAGCACCAAGATGCCCCAGGCTGGACACCAGCCCCTGGACCAACACGGGCTGATTGGTCCCCGTCATTACCCTCTACAGCCCCCAGCATCCACGTCAATGATAAGCCAAGCCCAGGCCGTTGGGAGCTGACACAGACACATCGGGTGGGCCTGGGCCTGCTGACAGCAGCGCTTCCCTGCTGCTGTAACCAAAGCCCTGATCAGGGACTGAACGACACCCCTACACTGCCAAAGGAAGGCTGAGCGTGGCCAGGCCGGCAGCCAGCCAGGCCCAGAGGCAGATCTGCTGGGGAGATGCTGCTCCTCAGGTTCAAGGCTCTGCAGCAGCTCCTGTAAGCTGACGGCATTGTCAGTAAAAGGTCCCGGGTCCAGCGTCAACCTGAGGGCCCGCTGGGGCCTGGGAAGGGCACCTCTGGTCCACTTTCCTTCCTTTACTTGTCTGTGTGTGTGTGTGTGTGTGCGCGCACGTGTGCACACACGCGCATCCGTGTGCATGCGCACGCTCCAGTACTAAAACTTGAACTCGGGGCTTTCTGCTCTCACTTGGCTTTTCCCCTCAAGGCTGGAGCTCTACCACTTGAGCCACACCTCCACTTCTGGCATTGCGGTAGCTAACTGGAGATTAGAGTCTCACAGATGTTCCTGTCCAGGGTAACTTCAAACCCAGATCTTCAGACCTCAGGCTCCTCAGTAGCTGGGATTATAAACATGAGCCACAGCTCCCAGATGGCTTCATTTTCTACGTCCTTCTGGTTGACCTGAGGCCAGGGGAGCAGAAGGCAACTCCATCTGCTCTCCACAAGAAGTTCCACCACACACACACACACCCCTGGCCAGGCCTGAGGCCAGGCCTGCAACAAATGACTGCATGCTCACTCACAGGGGTGCTGACTCGGTTGGCCCCTGGGCCTGAGGGACCTGGTGAATCTCACAGGAACCTGCCTCATCCTGAATTTAGAAGGCCTCACCTCTCACCCGTCAGTCCAGTCCGGAGCTGCACAGGCTAAGCAAGGAAAATGCCTGGCTAATGTTTGTAATGACCGACCAAATGTTGAAATGAAAATATGTGCCTACGCGGGGATAAATACCGCACAGAAACCCATCCTCCAGTTTCGCTGTGCTTGGTGTAATACGGCTACCAGAATTCTTAAAATCACACAGGGAGGGAGGGTGGGCACTGATGGCTCCCACCTGAAAACCTAGCTACTCAGGAACCGGAATCTGAGGAGCGCTGTAGGAAGCTGGTTCAGACAGTCAAACCTGAGAGACTCTTATCGCCAAGGAACCAGCAAAAAGCCAGGGGTGGAGCTTAGAGTGTTAACCTTGAGCAATAAAGCTAAGGGATGGTGCCTAGGACCTGAGTTCAAGCCCGAGTACCAGTACCAAAATGGGGAGGGGGAGAGAAAGAAAAGAAGGAAAAAGGGAGGGAGGGAGGGAGGAAAGGACCCTAGTCTGGCTACAAAGGATTTAAGGGTGGGGTGCTTGTGGCTGGAGCAAGGCTCACAGCTCAAGGGTGGCAGGAAAGGAAGCCAGAGGTGACAGGGACAGGTCACACAGGTCCTTCAAGAAGCCGAGAAGCTGGGGGGTGGTGAGTGGAGAAGGCCTTGTTTCCAGCTTGCCGATGAATAGACGCAGGCCTGGCACCACATGGAGAAGCCAAGGAAGCCTGTGTCCATCTGTCAGCACAGAGGAACCGCCAGCTGGGGTGGACATGCCCAGCTCCTCCCTGCTCCCACATCTGGGGCCAGACACCCACCCCACCTCCCCACCCCGCCCCCGCCCCGCTGGAGGAAGCTGGCTTGCTGGGGCTGGGTGGCCAAAGCTGAGACATCCCCAGGGAGGCAGAGGCCACAGTAGTGGGGTGTCGAGCCAGGGTCCACAGGGACCCCCAGAACAACCCACGCGGGTTTCATGTCCTGCCAGTTTGAAATTACTCATACAATGGTTCCCCCCCCCGCCCCCCGTCTCTCTACAGAGTGGACGCAGCTTCTTGGACTTGTCTGGGGCTGGCTGTGGGGTGGGAAAGTCCAGCAGGGTAGTGTCCACCTCCCACAGTGTCCTGTGGATAAAGGCTGATCGGTGACAGAGAGGGAGGAGGGGACCCCTGCACTTCAGGCTCCGGCCTCCTTGGTAGGGGGTTGGTTGGCAGCTCTGGTCGGTTCCTTGAGCCTCATGTGCATTTTTTTCTGCTACTCCCCAGCTAGGACCCTGCAGCCCTCTGGGCTGGGCAAGGAGGCCCGCAGCCTGACTGCTTGAGTCCCACAACAATGGTGTTCAATACGCTATCGACCGGCAGCCCCTCCGCGCCAGCCCGGCTACCTCAAGGCAAAGCATGTCTCCACACCCTTGCGGCCAGAGACTGAAAAGGGAACAGGGCCAGGCATAGCAGAAGTGGGGAAACCCATCTCTGCCACGCCCCTCCTCCGATTTATAGTGAGATGCCCCCTTGAGTCCCCCATGCCCTCCCATGCCCCACATCCCCTTATGCCCCCCATAGCCCAGTTCTGGGAACAATAGAGCGCCTGTTAGCTAGGATCTGGGGTCTCCCCGAGTAGAATGCTGGCATTAGCCTCTGTAGGACCAGAGAATCTGCGTTTAGAGGGAAATCTGGAGTGTACTGCTACTAATCAAGCTTCTAATGAGCGACATGACAAACGACAGTGGCCTAATCAATGTTGCTGGAAATGAGCATGCGCAGCTCCCAACGCCCACAAGCCGAGGCCCACCACAGCCAGGCACAGCCCCGCCTTCTTCTGGAGAGCAGGGCAGGCCCAGAGCAGGGAAGCTCTGTCACAGGACACACACAGGTGTCGCAGCAGAAGCCGGCCTTTCTTCACAATCCCTTCTATGTGCAAAACTCAGAAGCCAGCACGGAATAACCAAGGGCCAGGCGCCGGTGGCTCACGCCTGTCATCCTGGCCACTCAGGAGGCTGAGATCTGAGGATTGCTGTTGAAGGCCTGCATGGGCAGCAAAGTCCCTGAGACTCTGGTCTCCAAGAAGCCAGCAAAAAGCTGGAAGTGGAGCTGTGGCTCAAGTGGGAGGGAGCCAACCTTGAGGGGAAAAAAAATGTGAAGGCACAACGTCTTGGGTGCAAGACCCAGTGCAGAGCACGAAGAAAAAAGAAAGGAAAGAACGCGAGAGTCCAGCTACCCTGCCCTTCCCTTCTGTGTCCATCTGTCCAGTGCCCAGTGAGGCCTATTTGGGGAAAGGAGGTGGAAGGGGGCTTGTTGGGACGGAAGCTCCACCTCAGCCCAGGGAAGGAGCCGTGCTCCTGCAGCTCAGCGTCCTCGACAGCCACAGCTGGCTTTCTCAGAATCCCAAGGAAGACTTCTCTACCACGGGCCCCTCCAGCTTTTCTGTGTATGGCTTTTCTTCCACAACGCACTGCCATGTCTCCTGAATCTGAGAAAACACCAGTTTCAAGCAAGGAGACAGAGGCAGGGGCCGGGGGGCGGGGAGACTTGAATCCATTTCTGAACCTTCCAATCGGCATAAGTCAGAGAGTACAGAATCAGCCCATTACGATCATTACTGTCAAATCACAGGCAATCAACTCAATGACACAGGCCAGATGGACATCCAGGAGGAAGTCGGATCGCCAGAGCATGTGCAGAGCCATGAGAGAAGAGAAGAGCAGCAGGCCTTGTGTTTGCTTCCCGCTTCTCTCTGTGGCTTTCACAGCCTGAGGTTGTCATAACGTCAGACGGAAGCTAGAATTCTGCAGGGAACATGACCTGAAGATGCCCAGGTACCAGGCCACCCAGACAGGTGTAAGCTATGCCCCCAGGGTCATCAGCCCAGGGCCAAGAGCTGATACAATGAAGAAGGCTGGTCTCCCCTGAGACCTCCCTCTGAGGCTTTCTGCAGAATCAGAGCTGCATTCTGACATCACAGGCTCCGGGAATTTTGGCCTTCATGATTAATTTCCGCCATTAAAAAAAAAATTGGGCTAGGAAGGTGGCTTAGTGGTAGAGTGCTTGCCTAGCATGCATGAAGCGCTGGGTTCCATTCCTCAGTACCACATACACAGAAAAATCCAGAAGTGGTGCTATGGCTCAAGTGGTAGAGTGCCAGCCTTGAACAAAAGAAGCTCAGGGATAGTGCCCAGTCCCTGAGTTCAAGTCCCAGGACTGGCAAAAAAAAAAATTAACTGGGTACTAGTGACTCATGCCTATAATCCTAGGTACTCAGAAGGCTGAGATCTGAGGATCATGGTTTGATGCCAGCCTGGGCAGGAAAGTTCATGAGACTCATATCCAATTCACTACCAAAAAGCTGGAAGTGGAGCTGTGGCTTAAGTGATAGAGCACTAGGCTTGAACAAAAGAAGCTCAGGGACAGTGTCCAGGCCCTGAGTTCAAGCCCCAGGACTGGCATAAAAAAAAAACACAACATATTTGTAATACTAACTACTCAGAAGGCTGAGATCTGAGGATCGAAGTTCAAAGCTTGCCTGGGCAGGAAAGTCTGTGAGACTCTTATCTCCAATGAACCACCAGAAAACCCGAAGTGGTGCTGTGGCTCATGTGGTAGAGCACTAGCCTTGGGCTGAAGAGCTGAGGACATACCGAGGCCCAGAGTTCAAGCCCCATGACCAACAGTAAATAAATAAATAATAATAAAAATACAGGGTCTTGCTTAGGTGCCTGAGCTGGCCTTGAACCTGAGATCATCCTCTCCTGCCTTAGCCTCCTGAATACATGGGATTACAACACATTTGGTTTTTGTTTTTTGCTTTTTGCCAGTCCTGGGGCTTGAACTCAAGGCCTAGCTCTATCCCTGAGCCTCTCTGTGCTCTAGGCTAAAGCTCTATCACTTGAGCCACACCACTTCCGGCTCTTTCTGTGTATATGGTACTGAATCCAGGGCTTCATGCATGGTAGGCAAGCGCTCTACTACTAAGCCACCTTCCCAACCCCCTTGTCTTGTCTTCATATAAGAAGTTAGACCACGCCGGGTGCCGGTGGCTCACATCTGTAATCCTAGCTACTCAGGAGGCTGAGATCTGAGGATCGAGGTTCAAAGCCAGCCCGGGCAGCAAAGACCGTGAGACTCCTATCTCCAATAAACCACCAGAAAACCGGAAGTGGCGCTGTAGCTCAAGTGGTAGAGCGCTCGCCTTGAGCTGAAGAGCTGAGG